CCACCCCAAATTTGGGGGTTGGACTCCAAATCCCAGAGATCTCTCCCCACATGGGGGCTTTGCATCCCAAATCCCAGAGATTTCACTCCAAATCCCAGAGATTCCATCCTAAATTTGGGGTTTGGATCCCAAAATCCAGAGATTTCACTCCAAATCCCAGAGATTTCACCCCAAATCCCAGAGATTTCACCCCAAATTTGGGGTTTGGACCTCAAATCCCAGAGATCTCTTCCCCAAACTGGGGGGTTAAACCCCAAAACCCAGAGATTTCACTCCAAATCCCAGAGATTTCACCCCAAATTTGGGGGTTGGACTCCAAATCCCAAAGATCTTTCCCCACATTGGGGGTTTGGATTCCAAATCCCAGAGATTTCACTCCAAATCCCAGAGATTACATCCTAAATTTGGAGTTTGGATCCCAAATCCCAGAGATTTCACTCCAAATCCCAGAGATTCCATCCTAAATTTGGGGGTTGGATCCCAAATCCCAGAGATTTCACCCCAAATTGGGGGTTTGAATCCCAAATCCCAGAGATATCACTCCAAATCCCAGAGATTCCATCCCAAATTGGGGGTTTGTACCCCAAAATCCAGAGATTTCACTCCAAATTCTGGTGATGCCACCCCAAATTTGGGGGTTGTACCCCAAAACCCAGAGATTCCACCCCAAAACCCAGAGATTCCACCCCAAATCCCAGAGATTCCACCCCAAATTTGTGGTTTGGACCTCAAATCACAGAGATCTCTCCCCACACTGGGGCTTTGCATCCCAAATCCCAGAGATTTTACTCCAAATCCCAGAGATTTCACCCCAAATTTCGGGATTGGACTCCAAATCCCAGAGATCTCTCCCCAAGCTGGGGAGTTGAACCTCCAAACCCAGAGATTCCACCCTAAATCCCGGAGATTCCACCCCAAATTGGGGGTTTGGACTCCGAATCCCAGAGATTCCACCCCAAATCCCAGAGATTCCACCCCAAATTGGGGGTTTGGACCCCAAAACCCAGAGATTTCACCCTAAATCCCAGAGATTTCACTCCAAATTTGGGGGTTGGATTCCGAAACCCAGAGATTCCACCCCAAATCCCAGAGATTCCACCACAAATTTGGGGTTTGTACCCCAAAACCCAGAGATTCCACCCCAAATCCCAGAGATTCCACCCCAAATCCCAGAGATTCCACCCTAAATCCCAGAGATTCCACCCCAAATTTGGGGGTTGGACCCCAAAACCCAGAGATTCCACCACAAATCCCGGAGATTCCACCCCAGATTTGGGGTCTGGACCCCAAATCCCAGAGATTCCACCCCATATCCCAGAGATTCCACCCTAAATCCCAGAGATTCCACCCCAAATTTGGGGTTGGGACCATGAATCCCAGAGATTTCACCCCAAAACCCAGAGATTTCACTCCAAATCCTGGAGATTTCACCCCAAATTTGGGGGTTGGACCCCAAAACCCAGAGATTCCACCCCAAAACCCAGAGATTCCACCCCAAATCCCAGAGATTCCAACCTAAATCCCAGAGATTCCACCCCAAATTTGGGGTTGGGACTCCGAATCCCAGAGATTCCATCCCAAAACCCAGAGATTTCACTCCAAATTTGGGGTTTAGACCCCAAAACCCAGAGATTCCACCCCAAATCCCAGAGATTCCCCCCCCCCCCCCCCATTTGGGGTTTGGACTCCAAATCCCAGAGATTCTTCCCCAAATCCCAGAGATTCCACCTTAAAACGCAGAGATTCCACCCCAAATTTGGGGGTTGGTCTCTGAATCCCAGAGATTCCACCCCAAATCCCAGAGATTCTGCCTTAAATCCCAGAGATTCCACCCTAAATCCCAGAGATTCCACCCCAAATTTGGGGGTTGGACCCCGAAACCCAGAGATTCCACTCCAAATCCCAGAGATTTCACCCCAAATTTGGGAGTTGGACCCCAAAACCCAGAGATTCCACCCCAAATCCCAGAGATTCCACCCCAAATTTGGGAGTTGGACCCCAAAACCCAGAGATTCCACCCCAAAACCCAGAGATTCCACCCCAAATCCCAGAGATTCTGCCTTAAATCCCAGAGATTCCACCCTAAACCCCAGAGATTTCACCCCAAATTTGGGAGTTGGACCCCAAAACCCAGAGATTCCACCCTAAACCCGAGACTTCACCCCAAATTGGGGGTTTGAACC